TTTAGAATAATCATTCCTCTATCAAAATGTCAAAAATCTACACACCAAAAATCCAAATTCCCTTAGTCCTACCTCTCGTTGTCCATAAAATAGAAAAAGAGAGAAGACAGTAAGTACATGCTCAGCTAGTTAGTGATCCATGGCCTTCAAAGAACCTCATTTTTCAGAGCAGGAACCTTTTCTACTGGGTGGATGATTCTCTTGTGGATATTCCAAGCTCCTCAACAGAAAATGCGATTCTCTATATAAGTTGCATCTTTGCTCACATGAATTTTTTACCTCACAAAAATTTAAAACTTATACATAGTTCCAATGTATATTTGTATTTCATTTTATAAAAATACTGAAGATCTTTCTAAGAAGGAAAGGTAAATACAACGACTCTCATTTATAACATTAGCCAGAGATCTCAATTTATTCAGTGCTCTCCCCATGTTATAATGCATACAAAGAATGTGGAAGAATTGGGTCTCTCTATGCTATTCATCCACACAACTTTTAATTACATCATTAAGGGTGTGACAGAAATGTCCAGATCAGAAGAGAGAAGTTTGACTCTTTATGATCTGTTCTGACTAAACTGTATGGCTGGTATTAAATGGTGAGACTTTGGGAAAATTTATTTTGGATGTTGGTACAAATGGCGGGAAATGACGGTAATTATCTCTTACCTTTTAATTTTTTTGTGACAAAATTATTGAGACATTTCTGACTTCTATCATCTTTCATAAAATACGTATAGAACTACCCTGGCCGGTGGTGCTCAGTGGTTAGCATCTGGGTTCTAAAATGAAGTAGTTGCTTTATACCTTCTTGCTAACTCTTTAAAGTATTGTACAGCTGCTAATGTATGTTTATACTGGCATTGCTGAGTGGGCCTTGGGGATACAAAATCTGATTTCAGAAAAAACAGAACTTAGTTCAAATAAAAGAACAACTCTCTCCAACTGATAAGATTCTTACTAAAAGAAAACAAAACACTAAGTGAAAAACACACTGTGATATCTCCTGTTAATCCTCTACAACTCTCAAAACTTTTTTTTTCATTTATTTCTTTATTCATTATATATAGGGTGTCCCCAAATTCACGCAAGATTTTCAGTTCAATTCAATAGCAAATCTTGCGTGAATTTTGGGACACCCTATATTTCCATTTCACATTTTCTCCTATGGTGGCTAATTTTTGTTAGCTTATTTGTTTATTGTAGGTTTCAAAATGTAATCCTATTGTTTCAAAGTACATTGAATTAGATATTTAAAACCAAAAAAAAAATTTTTCAGAAAATTATCAAAGATCTCATCAGAAAGGGAAACAAATTTAGGAACTATGAAGTGGATACTTTTCTTATCCTGTGTAATAAAAGGCTACATAATATGCAAATAGACCGAATGGCGGAACCACCAAACAACCAGTCACTATGACATGTTCTGACCACCAGGGGGCATGTGTGGAACATGGTGGGTGTCAGCAGCAGGCGGTAGAGCACAAAACATGGCAGGCATCGGCCATGACTAGATGGTGGAGCAGGTGAGTGGGGGCACCAGACCAAGGCGGCCAGTCGCTGTCATCAGGGTGAGCCTCTGGTGGTTACTGAAAATTATTTGCTCCTGCATGCCACAGTCCTGCCCGGCACTTGCACCTGCTGCCAGCACCAGCCCTGCTTGCACCCACTGCCAGCGCCTGGCACCGGCCCTGATCACCCCTCAAGGCTTCTCCATCTCCCCCTGCTCCTGAGGGGCGATCAGGGCAGTAAGGAAAAAAAGAGCCCTGGCCAGTTTGGCTCAGTGGATAGAGTGTCAACCTGCAGACTGAAGGGTCCCGGCTTCAATTCCAGTCAGGGGCACATGCCCAGGTTGTGGGCTCGATCCCCAGTGGGGGGCCTATGGGGGCAGCCGATCAGTGATTCTCTCTCATCATTGATGTTTCTGTTTCTTGCTCCCTCTCCCTTCCTCTCTGAAATCAATTAAAAAAATAAAAATAAAGAAACATTCATTCAAATGACTTCTACAATATATTAACTTCTACAATATATTACAGGCATATTAACTTCTATAATATATTACAGGCATAAAATGACCTTTAAGTCTTGGGCTCATGAGAACAATCGTTTTGCACTTATGATAAATATTAATAATGTTATACAGACCTACAACAGACTTAGTGTCTCTAGAATTGAGGTGGTGTAGACACAGTAGAAAGGCCATTGAACTGTTCTTTTCCGATATGCTATTAAGTAGATGATTTACAATTTGTAGTATATTAAAAAATTATAATCCTGATTTTGTATTTGTATGGAACATTAGAGTTCAAAACATTTTTATGTAGATGATTTTTATATATGTTTTTATTGATTTTATTTTTTTTTAGAGAGAGGAAAGGAGAGGTACAGACAGATAGAAACGTCATTGGTCAGCTGCCTTCTACACAGTCTCCACCAGGGATCAAACCCACACCCGGGCATGTGCCCTGACCAGGAATCAAACCGGCAACCTCTTGGATCCAGGGTCGACCCTTAACCACTGAGCCACATCAGACGTGCTTATGTAGATTACTTTATTCAATCATCCCAATAACCCTCAAGGAGAATAAGATATCCATTTTACACATGAGAAATAGACTCAAAAGGAGAAATTTTCCAAAGAGCACATAATTTCAGAAATGGGATATGAACCCAGATATTTTTATTGCAAGACAATACATTTGTTTTCATCTTTACTTCAGCTTCTTTATCTTTAAAATGAAAACCATTATATGTATATGATGCAGTTTTTCATTTATTCCTCGAGTATTTAGTATCAATTACATGACAGGCAAGATTAAATGATATGCATGAAAGTACATTGGATGCTGTATAAAAACCAAAACAAAACATCCACACACAAATGTAGGATGGTAACAGTAAAGAAACTTGGCTTAAAGGACATAAATACCAAAGTTGATAATTTAACCCACAGTTATTAAGTTTCTTTGGGCTCCCTATGATATGCATCTGAGAAATCACCCTGATACACCCTGATACACCTGGTAGATAAATCTATTAAGGTAGATTAGAATAGTTTGGTAGACTATTAAAAATTTTTAATGAAACAAAATAACATTTTAGGATGCTGAGAGGACCCTTAATTTTTATTTCTATACTGAATTTTGATAATAACATACTTGATAGTTAATATCACATCCCCATCCTCTACTAAAACAATGCTATTTAGAGCCTCCTGTCTGTTGCTATTGCCCAGTAATTCTTAATTTTTGACATAGAGATACCCAATTCTATTACATTTGTGATCTTTTATAGGAAAGGACTCTACAACAACTGTTACTACACATTTTGTTCAACATAACGCTTAAAATACAATACACTGTGGCTGAAAAAATACACTAAAATAACATTAAGAAGTCTAAACTAGGAGAAAGAGTTTCTAGAATATTACTCATCTCTGATGACTAAGTACAAACTGACATTTCTCCTAGCCAAGATTTTTTTTTAAATCCTATTTATAGAATCAAAAACTGAGCATTACTGTACCTAAAATCTGAATGTTAAGAGTCGGGGTTTTTAAGAACAAATTCATATTCACAATTATTTATAGTAATATATATGTCCTAATAAACTCCATATAAATCACATAGTTCAAAAAGGAAATGTGGTCTATCTATTTGGAAACAGAACTACCTACATACATATTATTATAATAGTTGCCACATTCTCAAAAACTAAAATTTATTTATAATACTTCAACTTTTAACTGTTTATTTTTTCATATTTTAAGGTTGGAAATAGATTTGTTTTGACTAGTCTCTACTTTTTTGTTAATGAACACTTCCATATTGTCCTATTTCTGAAGAATGAAAGCTACACGCAAAAAAAAAAGTTGTTTAATTCACAACTTCATTTTCACATATTCACCACACTTAATTATCCAAGGGAAAATTTCTAGACAAGTAGACTAGTCATTAAAATTTTAATCAGATCAAACAAAAGTAATTTTATTGTATTACTATCCTCCTTTTTCATTCAACAAGAAGAAATTTACAAGTTCTACTGAAGAATTCCTTGATCTAAGTTAGAAAGTATTCAATCTAGGGCCAGATTATCATTCTATGAACTTCAAAAATTTTTTCAAGAGTAACATAGTATATTCGTAAGTGGATTGGCACACACAGTGATGGAGACTCCTCCAATGAATCCCAGTAAATTCTCATCTTCCATCAAAAACAAAGGAAATTGTTTAAGTGAGCAAAATGTAGATCACAGTCATAGCTAAAACACAAGAATAACATAGTGCTCTCCCTCTGTGGCAAAATAAAGCTTCTACATATCCTTGGTTTAAAAAAGAACCCGTGATTTTTATACTTCTTTGACCAAAATAAGTATGTAAATTATAAAATTAAACATTTGGAAAAGTCACAGTACTTCATTAATAAGCAGATGAAATGATAATACAGTTAGTTGACCCTTGAACAACATGGGTTTGAATTTTACAGGTCCACTTATAAAAGATTGTTTTTAGTATATGCTTAACTTTATGTCTTTGTTGTTTTCTAAAATTCAATATATTTTTAAATCATTTTAATTACAGTTGACATACATACAATATTATATTATTTTCAGGTGCACATCCCAGTGATTAGACATTATGTAACTTACTAAGTGATCACCCCAATAAATCTAGTACCCATTTAACACTATACATAGTTATTACAATATTATTGACTATATTCCCTATGCTGTACTTTATATCCCCATGACTATTCTGCAACTACTAATGTATACTTCTTAATCCCTTCACCTTTTTCACCCATCCCCCCCAACACCATTCTCATCTGGCAACAGTCGAAATATTCTCTGTATCTATGTCTGTTTCTGCTCTGCTTATTCATTTATTTCATTTTTTAGATTCAACTGTTGATAGATATGCATGTATTGCCATTTTATTGTTTATACTTTTACCTTTTTCTTCTTCTTCTTAAAGAAGACCCTTTAACATTTCATGTAATACTGGTTTGGTGGTGATGAATTCCTTTAGCTTTTTCTTGTCTGGGAAGCTCTTTACATGCTCTCCAATTATAATGAGTACCCTGATATCAAAACCAGACAAGCACACTGCAAGAAAAGAAAATTACTGGCCAATATCCCTGATGAACATAGATGCAACAAAATATTAACAAACTGAATTCAACAATACATTAAAAGGGTCATACATTAAAAGGGTCATACACTACTATCAAGTGGGATTTATCCCAGAAATATGAAGATGGTTCAACATCCACAAATCAATGTAACATACAACATTAACAAAATGAAAGATAAAATCATATGATCATCTTAATAGGTACAGAAAAAGCATATGAAAAAATTCAAAATCCATTCAAGATATTAAGGATACATACCTCAACATAATAAAAACTATATATGCAGGCCACACATAATAACATACTCAATGGTAAAAAATGAAAAGTTTTTCTCTAAGATCAGGAACAAGACAATCATACCCATTCTTATTCAACATAGTACTGGAAGTCATAGACGGAGCAACTAGCCAAGAACAAGAAGTAAAAGGCATTCAAATTGGAAAAGAAGAAGTAAAACTACCCCAATTTCCAAATGGCATGATAATATATACAGAATACCCTAAAGACTCCACCAAAAAAAATTACAATTAATCAAAAAATTAAGGAAATTTGTAGGATACAGTATCAATATGTAAAAAATCAGTTGTATTTCTGTACACTAACAACAATCAGAAAGTGAAATTAATAAAATAAACCCATTAAAAAGCACATCCAAAAGAATAGCTAGGAATAAATTTAACGAAGGAGGTAAAAACTCTATACAACACTGAAAACTATAAGATCTTGATGAAAGAATTGAAGAAGACACAAAATGGAAAGGTAGTGTGGGTTCATGGATTAGACGAATTACTATTGGTAAAATGTCCATACTACCCAAAGCAATCTACAGATTCAATAAGATCCCTATCAAAATCCCAATGGTACTTTTCCCAGAAATAGAAAAAAAAGTTTAAACTTTGAATGGAATCACAAAAGACCCTGAATAGCCAATGCAATCTTGAGAAAGGAGAACAAAGCCAGAGGTATCATGCTCCCTGATTTCAAACTACATTTCAAAGCTATAGTAACCAAAACAGTATTGTATTGGCACAAAAACAAACACATATATCAAAGGAACTGAATAGAGAGCCCAGAAACAAACCCATGTACCAGAAATATGACTTTCTGTTTCCACCTGGGATCAGCTGGCTCTCTCCTATAGACCTTTAGAAAGTTCCCACTTGATGGCCTCATTGGCCTAGTCTTTTTCTCTCATTCAAGGCAGAACCAAAGTAATATATTTAATAGTAGTAAAAGTGGCAAAAGGACCAATGGAACAGAACAGAGAACCAAGAAATCAACACAAGCCATTATGCTCAATTAATATTTGACAAAGGAGGCAAGAACATACAATGGAATCAAAACAGTCTCTTCAATAAATGGTGTTGGGAAAATTGGACAGATACATGCAAAAAAATGAAACTAGATCACCAACTACACCATACATAAAAATAAACTCAAAATGGATAAAAGACTTAAACGTAAGACAGGAAACCATAAAAATCTAAAAGAAGCATAGGCAGTGAAGTAGCAACATATGTCGTAGCAATATCTTTACCCATACATCGCTGAGGACAATGGAAACTAGGAGAAAATAAACAAATGGAACTACAACAAAATAAAAAGCTTCTGCACAGCAAAAGAAACCATCAACAAAACAACAAGAGAGCCCACTACATGGGAGAACATATTTAGAGCGTCGGCCTGGGGACTGAAAGGTCCCAGGTTCGATTCCGGTCAAGGGCATGTACCTGGGTTGCGGGCACATCCCCAGTAGGAGATGTGCAGGAGGCAGCTGATCGATGTTTCTCTCTCATCGATGTTTCTAGCTCTCTATCTCTCTCCCTTCCTCTCTGTAAAAAATCAATAAAATATATTTTTTAAAAAAACAAAAAAACAAAAAAAAACAAGAGAGCCCACTACATGGGAGAACATATTTGCCAATGTTACATCTGATAAGGGTTTAATCTCCAAAATTTATACTGAACTCATACAATTTAACAAAAGGAAGATAAACAATCCAATCACAAAAATGGGCAAAGGACCTAAATAGACACTTTTCAAAAGAGGACATTCAGAAAGCCAAGAGACATATGAAAACATGCTCAAAGTCACTAATCATCCAAGAGATGCAAATCAAAATGACAATGAGGTACCATCTCACACCTGTCAGAATGGCTATCATCAACAAATGACAAGTGCTGGCGAGGATGCAGAGAAAAAGGAACCCTCATCACTGCTGGTGGGAATGCAGACTGGTGCAGCCACTGTGGAGAACAGTATGGAGTTTCCTCAAAGAACTAAAAATGGAACTCCCATTTGACCCAGTGATCCCACTTCTGGGAATATATCCCAAAAAATCAGAAACACCAATCAAAAAGGATATATGCACCCCTATGTTCATAGCAGCACAATTTACAATAGCTAAGATTTGGGAACCCATCAGCAGGTGAGTGGATTAAAAAGCTGTGGCACATTCACACAATAAAATACAACGCTGCTGTAAAAAAGAAAGAATTCTTACCATTTGCAACAATATGGATGGACCTGGAGAGCAAATAAGCCAGTCAGAGAAAGACAAACATCACATGATCTCACTCATTTGTGGAATATAATGAACAACATAAACTGATGAACAAAAATAGATCCAGAGACACAGAAGCATCAAACAGACCATCAAACCTCAGAGGAAAGGCAGGGAAGGGTGGGGGAGATGAGGTAAGAGATCAATCAAAGGACTTGTATCCATGCATATGAGCATGACCAATGGACACAGACACTAGTGGGTGAAGGCATGAGCTGGGGAGCAGGAGTGGGCAGGGAGAGGTCAGTGGAGGGAAAAGGAGACATGTAAAACTTTCAACAACAAAGAATTAAAAAAATATAGAGAGAGATCATGAAAAAAAAAGAGTGGCAAAGGAAATGGACAAACAAGGGGATATGATGCTACCTGCCCTTTGAATATGGGTTCATGGCATCTTTCATACCTCAAGATCCTGATTTACTTTCTCCCTAACATTGTAATTCACTGAAGAAAAAAAGACAGAAATACCAAGTTTTATAGCAAGTCAGAGAGTTCTTCAATCCTAGAAACAATATTTGGCCAGATACAATATAGTTTGGATCTGGGAAAAACCTTAAAAATTGAGTTCTAGCCTTCATTTTATATATAAGAAAACAGATTCAAAGAGGCTCAGTGACTTAGCCGGGGTTAATTTTCTTAAGTTTAATTCTTAAAAAGAAAAAAATATTTTTCAAGTTTTTCTTTAACAATTTTTGCATGAGAGAAGAAAGTAAAGATCTGCCCAAACTTTTTAAATACAATCTTTTAAAAGTTGCCATTTTCTAATTTGTTCAACGCAGTCTGGTTAGAAGTCAATAAATAAAAAGAAAATGAACTTGTCATTCTGTTTAATTAAAAAAAAACAGAAGAGAACTTTGTTTATCAACAATATAATAATGTATACTCGCAGCAGTTTTCTTGAAACCAAGAAATTCAAAGAAAGGAAAATAATGGCAAATGACTTCCCAAACTTCAGGGAAATACTTTTCTTTTAGAGTTAGTTTTCTGAAGCAAGTAGATAAAGACAAGACCACCTGTGAATTAATATAGTCTCAGAAAATTCTGTTTGAAAAATAAATGTGTTTGTTTTATTGTTCTACACACAAAAAAAAGAAATCAGACTTTATGAAACACACTGGAAAGTCCCATCCTTTCCATGTCTATCCTTATTAGTACAATAAAGAAATGAAAGCCAAGATATCACTGGCTATGATCCAAACTGCATGCTTTGGTTCCCGCTAGGACTTACACTAAATTTCTTATGAACTATTCTATTTTCCATTTAGCTGAGTGATTTCTTATAATTGCTACTATCCCAAAGAATTGTATTTATAGTTAAATAGCCTATGGCTCATACTTTGTGTTTGGGAAAGACTTTTTTGCCCTCGTTTCACTGTTTCTTTCCCCACCTTTTCTAACCTAAAGTGTCCCAAAACTTTATTAACAAATATTTCAAATCCAAGGATGAAAGTATACCAAAATTAACCACAATAGAAGTTCTAACTCTGTCATAGTTAGATAAAACAAACAAGATAAAACAGACTAGTAATGCAGACAAATATGATAGCCAAGGAACTAAAGAAGACTCTTTAAGCCAAGTTTTAATGCCAGAGAAGGTAAATCTAACATTCGCTTTTATTATTATTCCTAGAATGAATTCCTACTCTAAGCAAGAATAACAACAGCAATAAATCTAAAAGGAGACAAGAAATTTTGAGGAAGCCTAATTATATCTTTTTTTCTTCATAATACACAGCAAATCTTAACACTCAATAGATAACATACACTCAGAGAAGAGCTCATTAATTAAAAGATCACACTAGCTGCTTAAAGGCTGCCTCTGCCTCTGGTGATTTAAGTGGAACAGACATATACTGCCTCTTTTAACAGTCTACAATTGCCTTTAGTTTTTCTGTCAATAGTTTTAATCTTCTTTGTTGTTTTTATAAACTTAGTCTTTTTTTAAAATATACTTTGCAATCAATTTTGCAAGTATTTGTAACAATAGGTTCAATTGTGGACCTCTGTCCCTAAATGGAAAAGTCATTCTAAGTTTATTTTAGGTAAAACATGAATTTATTTGGTTGCTTCATTTCCATACGTAGTTGTTATTAAAATCCTTGCACTTTTATAAATTTCAGACAGCAAGACAGAAAGAGAGAGTGAGGGAAAGAAGGGGAGAGGACTTTGTAATAGAATCCTGCTTGAGCCAACTCTCAGTAGTCTTTTGGCAAAAGGCCTGTGTGTGAACTATTTCCAAGACCTCAGTCTGAAAGACAGCCAAAGGCTCCACAAAAGAACAGGTTCTAAATGGCTTATTACCTTTCACCTTTGACCTTTTACCCAGTTGCCTCATACTTTGTGAACTTGAAATCTTGTGAGAGAATGCTTTGCCATCCTACTATTTACAAACAACCTATTTATTCTAC